CAACCAGTGGCGGCTCCTGAAAAAATTCTCAGGAGGGGCAATTTTTCTGATGATTTAGGTGACCTACACACATTTTAAAAAAGATATGTCCAGCAACAACATGAAGACAGGGGCAGCATATAAGTCAATACCAGAAGCATTTATTGACTGATCTGGGGAGATGGATTCCAGTTTCTGTGACAGATTATAAATAATCTCTGATGCCTTTGTTATATTAGCTTTTGGTTGAATGTACTGTCGTAGTAAATATATAATGTTATAGCTTGGTCTGACTAAAATCTTGTGCATGACCCATTTTGTGTTGGGCGTTTGTTTTCAATCAATGCTGTTCCTATCCTATAACAATGGACAAAAGAGTCCTACTTGTCAGCCTTGTCAGCAGGTGGCCAAGGACAACACCCACGCCATAGGTCTCTCAGTTCTTCCAACTCACGAGTTCTTGCTCTGAGGACACACCCACACAACCAACCACACAACACATCATCACTGATACACACACACACGACGGTTCACAGCGCATGGCCAGGTGTCATGCACGTGATTTTCACAAAATGTGGCTACTTTTAAAACGATATCGCGGGTGTGAAAATGTATTGGTTGCGAGGGTTGGGGCTATTTTAATTTCTGTCAGGCAGTGAGGCCAGCTGTTACCTCTGAGTGAGTGAGTGGGAGGGCCGGAGGGGTGTGTGTGAGAGAGCACTACAGCTATGCAGCACTGGGGCACGTCATGGCAACTTTTAGCAATTGTAGGTAGGCTATTAGATTGTCTTTATGGAGACTCCTATTTCCAACCTTTTTTCCATAAAAACCTATTAACACGATAGAACTGATGCACATCAAGAAATAATGGAGACAAAGCACTGGAAAAAGACTTCGGGCGCACTAGAGCGCATTACATAAATTCGCTCTGAGATGGTTTTAAACTGCATTCTTATGTTGACTTTGCTTAAAGAAAGCGGTATCAAGCGAAGTGTTTTATGCTTGCTCAGTTCTTGGGTCTCGGGGGTTGCCGGAGTGGAAATTTTAAATGGAAGTTCTGGAACTCCCTCGCGTGGTTCTTTTTATGGGGAAAAGTTCTCAATAAATGTGGAGAATGATACATTTGCCTCTGTTGGCCATCAAGTACACTATTCATTTCTATGCCATTGTTGGCTACTTTAGGCTACCATTTGATAGCCTACAGTAGCCTATAACTGGAGTCATTGCAAATCAATGTGCCACTTATGTAGCCTACCTGGAGCTGGCAAACCAATTTAATAAATAGCCTACAACTTTAGTTTATTGTTATCGTAGCCTTGTGTTATTATGCAATTATTAATGGACATGTTTAGTTAATTAAATTGGAAGTTATCAAAGCTCTATCACAATTGCCGATCAGTTGTTAGAACGCATTAGATTGACGGTCAGATTTGGCTACAGGTAAAACATATTTTTAAATAAACACTGGATGTTGTTGACAGGCATATTCAGTTAATATACATATTAATAATAACATTCGTTTTTGTAAGCTCATCCAAGTGTTTCTTGCTCAGAGATTTCGAGATCCTCTGTCCAACTTTCATCACTCAAACTCTCGTCGATTTTTCTATAGTTATGCACATGCGCAAAGGGGATTTATTTACAATTATAACCCTGGTTTAAACCCTGAATGCCGATTGGCTGAAAGCAGTGGTATATCAGACCATATACCGCGGGTATGACAAAAATATACTTTTTACTGTTGTAATTATACTGAAAAAAGATATAACCACAACATGCAACAATTTCAACGATTTTACTGAGTTACAGTTCAAATAAGGAAATCCGTCAATTTAAATAAATTAATCTATGGATTTCACATGACTGGGCAAGGGCACAGCCATGGGTGGGCCTGGGAGGGCATAGGCCCACCCACTTGGGAGCCAGGCACACCCACTGGGGAGCCAGGCCCAGCCAATCAGAATGAGTTTTTCCCCACAAAAGGGCTTTATTACAAACAGAAATACTCCTCAATTTCATGAGCTGTCTGGTCTCAGACGATCCTGCAGGTGAAGAAGCCCGGTCTGGAGGTCCTGGGCTGGCGTGGTTACACGTGGTCTGCGATTGTGAGGCCGATTGGACGCACTGCCAAATTCTCTAAAACGACGTTGGAGGCGGCTTATGGTAGAGAAATTGCATGCTCCCTCAAAACTTGAGACATCTGTGGCATTGTGTTGTGTGACAAAACTGCACATTTTAGAGTGGCCTTTCATTGTCCCCTGCACAAGGTGCACCTGTGTAATGATCATGCTGTTTAATCAGCTTCTTGATATGCCACATCTGTCAAGTGGATGGATTATCTTGTAAAAGGATAAATGCTCACTAACAGGAATGTAAACAAATTTGTGCACAAAATCTGAGATAAATAATATTTTTCTGCATATGGACAATTTCTGGAATCTTTCTGGGATCTTTCAGCTCATGAAACATGGGACCAACACTTTACATGTTGCGTTTATATTTTTGTTCAGTGTATTTGACGAGGTTGAAGCACTTCTGACACCATTTTATGATCTTAGTCAGATACTGTATGACTGTACTGCACAGCAGAGCACGAGCAAATGGGTCAGCCCGTACACGGGACCAACACTTTACATGTTGCGTTTATATTTTTGTTCAGTATATGTTGGTAACCAGTTTATAATTTGCAATAAGGCACCCGGGGGGTTTGTGGTATATGGCCAATATACCAGGGCTAATGGCTGTATCCAGGCACTCTGCATTGTGTCAAGTTTAAGAACAAATCAAATCAAATCAAATCAAATCAAATTTTATTGGTCACATGCGCCGAATACAACAGGTGCAGACATTACAGTGAAATGCTTACTTACAGCCCTTAACCAACAGTGCATTTATTTTAAACAAAAAAAGTAAGAATAAAACAACAACAAAAAAAGTGTTGAGAAAAAAAGAGCAGAAGTAAAAATAAAGTGACAGTAGGGAGGCTATATATACAATAGAATAAAGTGACAGTAGGGAGGCTATATATACAGGGGGGTACCGTTTATTGTATAACAGCCCTTAGCCGTGGTATATTGGCCATATACCATACACCCTTGTGCCTTATTGCTGAATCATAGCAGTCAAATGAGTTAAATCAACATCCATTGATGGAAAATGATCTGGCGAGTTTAATAAGGGCGAATTATCTTTTCTCTTGCAACATATTGAAATTCCTTTATGTTATAGCTAGCAAGAATGAAAACCGAATTTTGCGTCTGACTTCATTACAAGTTACTACGATATTCCTTCTTAATTGGCTTGATAACGTTACGGAAAAGGGGTTTATTGTATAAATATGGCAACTCTTGCCTGTGATATTTTTTTGTGCCTAATTAGTAGGCCTTTTGGGCGGGTTTTGAGTGGTCAATGTTCATTTTTGCTTCATTGAGCTGGCAACCCTGGCTGTGGCAAGACAGGACAATGATAGAGATTCTGCTCGTGAAGTGAAATTGCAGGCGCAGATGCTCCGATTTCAAAACGATTTGGAGCACAGTTTTAAAAGTTAACTCGCTGACTATACAATGGACTAATTAGAAAAATAAAAGCAGTACTTTTCAATGCATGAAAAATAAGAGGTGTGCCGTGAGAGCGTGAGAAGAGGGTCAATGCGTGTGTCTCAATGTGTGAGAGTTGGCAGCTCTGACCCAAGGCATGCTTGTTATATATTATACTTCATTGTCACTGTGAACTTTCAGGAGTAAATCAGATTAGGCTACTGAATATTTTATTGTGCTGCCTCAACAGAAAAACCAGGACTTGGGGACAGCCACTATCTGTCTTTCTGAGTTAAATCTGTCCTTTATGAGAGATGTGGTCGAGAGTGTTTAAAGCCTCATTGTTAGTTTGCTTTTCTTTTTTTTCTATTGGATTATATTGGATTGGGTTATATGTGATTATATTATATAAAATAGTTTTTAATTACATCGAATAAAATATTGTGTTACTTTTGTCATTTGTAATGGCCCATAGCCTACCACAATTATTGCATACGATCGGATTAATCAGAGAATCTGATCACATTTAAATGTTCAAAGAAATTCACCTTGCATTCTGCAGTGGCTAAAACGACCAGGAACAAATAATGGCGAAGACGTTTCCGCCCGTGCACTTATCATGGACGGTTTTTAAAGGCTTGTATTGGGGGAGGTGTTAGCTCAGATAACAAGCTAATTCTTTGTTTTGTAAAACATAATAACGGTATTTGTTACTTAATTATTAGTTTGTGAGACGTGATTTAGCAATTTATAAAGGTTGCCATATGGTAAGTTGGCAGAAATGAGTCGAATCAATGAATTGTGCTTCATACATTTTTTAGTAGATAGCTAGTTTAGCGAACGTTTGCTGTTTCAAAAGCAACCAGCCTCCCATGTTTGGGATTCCCTAAAAACAGGTTCTGACTAGAGGGAGTACAGCTATGACCGGAAATTACTTTTTCGTAGCAGGTTAGGATAATTAACGTGGCAGGTTAGGAGACTTAGGTTAAGGTTAGGAAAAGGCTTGGGTTAGTTACAAATGTTCTCCTAACCTGCTACGAAAAGTAACTTCCGGAGCTATACTCCCTAAAAACGCGCCACTTCGATACAGCTACCACCGGAAGTGACTTTTCATAACAGGTTAGGAGAACATTTTCCTAACCTAATTCTCATAACCTGCTACATGAATTATCCTATCCTACTATGGAAAAGTCACTTCCGGTCGTAGCTGTATCGACGTGGCGTTTTTTTAGGGAATCTCTTCTCCCATGGTTAGTTAAAGTTTAAAATTGTATTATGTTAGATATTATTTATAGCATATAAAGGTAGCCGGTGTTGGCAATTTAGTTTAGATTCACTATAATATTTTACAATATTTGTAAATGACTAAATTAATTGTTTACTACAGGTGTTGTCCTCCCATATTGACAGCTGGGATGTGCCACAGAAGAACTAGAATGATGGCATCCTAAGAGTGGAAATAATACTATATTGTTAGTGGACACAATGCTAGCCAGGCATCATGGACCACAGGAGGCCTTTGGCATTATGGCGAAGACGCCACAAAGCAGGAATTATCAGTGTGTCACATGCTTGAAATGCTTTTCTTCTCCATCCAAACTACAGCGGCACATCCTTTCACACACAGGACAAAGACCATTTGTGTGTCACCTCTGTAAAAAGGCATTTAGGCAACTAGCACACCTGAAACTCCATATTAATACACATCTTTACCCAAAACATATTGAACGGAAGAAGATCAATGTAAAGTCTAGCTTGCATCCAAGTGGATATGAAAATGCCCCTCCTATAAAGATAGATAACTCAAATGCATGTTTGCAGATAGGCTCCTTGGACACAGTCGGTGCAGAGGGCACATTGGAGATGGGCATCAGTCCAACTGCACCTGTCGACAGAGTTGAGGAAAGATCTCTCTGTTCCTCTCGCTGTACCGCTGAACTCAATCCCCTACACTCCGAGGTCGAGAAGTTTGAGAAGCACCACACAAAAGAAGAGCCAATGAGGAACCACGATGACTGGAGTGAACCTGAGAAACAGACACTGGATGAGGATAAATCCACCAGAGATGAAACAGTGGACAAACATGCAAAACTAATTGAGAATTCAAACTCTCATAAATGCCCTGAGTGCTTTAAGCGCTTCAGCGCACCGTCCAAATTAAAGAGGCACTGCCTGATTCACACAGGCCAGAAACCATTTCAGTGCTACCTATTCAGGCATGCTTTTAGGCAGCTGGCCCATTTAAAGGTACACTACAGCATTCACTCTGGGGTCACCAAGTCGAGGAACTCCTCACTACCACAACAAAGTCTAAAATTTATTTCCCAAACCTAGAGGTCAAAAACCTGGCCAAGGAACTATCCATGTAACGTGTGGAAGGTGATTTAAACAGAAAATACATTTGATAGTCCACCAGCAAACTCATAAAGTTTCAGAGACTGCTGTGCACCCTGGTAAGTTAAATACTATAATTAAGGCCTACCTTCCACTTCAAACTAATTGTCCTTCCCAAGTAGATTTCCAAAACTCTGAAAGTTCTATAACGTACAACACAGAGCTGAATGGTAAGAGACAACTAGATGTTGTTGAAGGTTTATACAACTTATCCGAAAAATTGCATGACAGTGCAAAACATGCATCGCAGGAGCACATTGACCTCACTCGCTCCTCAGTCAACAGAAACAACAAGTCGCCTGTGTCTAATCGCACTGACCACACTCATACAAGCACAAGTAAGGTAAGGGAAAATCAGTGCATGATACAGTGGGAGAAAAAACGTATTTAGTCAGCCACCAATTGTGCAAGTTCTCCCACTTAAAAAGATGAGAGAGGCCTGTAATTTTCATCATAGGTACACGTCAACTATGACAGACAGATTCAGAACAAAAAATCCAGAAAATCACATTGTAGGATTTTTTATGAATTTATTTGCAAATTATGGTGGAAAATAAGTATTTGGTCACCTACAAACAAGCAAGATTTCTGGCTCTCACAGACCTGTAACTTCTTCTTTAAGAGGCTCCTCTGTCCTCCACTCGTTACCTGTATTAATGGCACCTGTTTGAACTTGTTATCAGTATAAAAGACACCTGTCCACAACCTCAAACAGTCACACTCCAAACTCCACTATGGCCAAGACCAAAGAGCTGTCAAAGGACACCAGAAACAAAATTGTAGACCTGCACCAGGCTGGGAAGACTGAATCTGCCATAGGTAAGCAGCTTGGTTTGAAGAAATCAACTGTGGGAGCAATTATTAGGAAATGGAAGACATACAAGACCACTGATAATCTCCCTCGATCTGGGGCTCCACGCAAAATCTCACCCCGTGGGGTCAAAATGATCACAAGAACGGTGAGCAAAAATCCCAGAACCACACGGGGGGACCTAGTGAATGACCTGCAGAGAGCTGGGACCAAAGTAACAAAGCCTACCATCAGTAACACACTACGCCGCCAGGGACTCAAATCCTGCAGTGCCAGACGTGTCCCCCTGTTTAAGCCAGTACATGTCCAGGCCCGTCTGAAGTTTGCTAGAGTGCATTTGGATGATCCAGAAGAGGATTGGGAGAATGTCATATGGTCAGATGAAACCAAAATATAACTTTTTGGTAAAAACTCAACTCGTCGTGTTTGGAGGACAAAGAATGCTGAGTTGCATCCAAAGAACACCATACCTACTGTGAAGCATGGGGGTGGAAACATCATGCTTTGGGGCTGTTTTTCTGCAAAGGGACCAGGACGACTGATCCGTGTAAAGGAAAGAATGAATGGGGCCATGTATCGTGAGATTTTGAGTGAAAACCTCCTTCCATCAGCAAGGGCATTGAAGATGAAACGTGGCTGGGTCTTTCAGCATGACAATGATCCCAAACACACCGCCCGGGCAACGAAGGAGTGGCTTCGTAAGAAGCATTTCAAGGTCCTGGAGTGGCCTAGCCAGTCTCCAGATCTCAACCCCATAGAAAATCTTTGGAGGGAGTTGAAAGTCCGTGTTGCCCAGCGACAGCCCCAAAACATCACTGCTCTAGAGGAGATCTGCATGGAGGAATGGGCCAAAATACCAGCAACAGTGTGTGAAAACCTTGTGAAGACTTACAGAAAATTTTTGACCTGTGTCATTGCCAACAAAGGGTATATAACAAAGTATTGAGAAACTTTTGTTATTGACCAAATACTTATTTTGCAAATAAATTCATTAAAATCCTACAATGTGATTTTCTGGAAAAAAATGTCTAATTTTGTCTGTCATAGTTGCCGTGTACCTATGATGAAAATTACAGGCCTCTCTCATCTTTTTAAGTGGGAGAACTTGCACAATTGGTGGCTGACTAAATACTTTTTTTCCCCACTGTATGCCTGAAGAAGTTTGACTATCCCTCCATACTCTCCCGACATCTATTGGTCCACATGGACATTAAGCCTTTCGGATGCACCGTCTGTAGTAAGTCCTTCAGACAGCTCTGCCATCTACAGACTCACATGAAGGCCCACTACGTAAAAAGCGACAATGTTTCATAAAGCATAGAAGATACCCCTGACCAACCAGGGGATATTATATTAAAGAACAAGCCTGTTTCTGAGGTGAAGAGAAATCAAAGTGAACATTTAGACCAAGTTTCTCAACCTCAGGAAGCCAGTAGAGACCTCAATGAAGTTGCTTGTTTCCTAAGCCAGTATGTTTTACCAGTCAGACCTACCTTCAGTCATTGCTCCACTGACAGTCTCTCCAACTATGGTGCTCAACAACCTGCATGGAACCCCAGTGGGAAGCTGCTACCTGGATTGGACTGTGTCACAGACACGAAGTCTTCAGTAGAGCCAGTTTCTCTCAGACAAGGACATAAGACAGACTACAAGAATACCAGTGATGTATTTGACAGCACACTGACACACCATTCACTAATAGGCATTACTAAACAAAGGAGTTGCATCTTATAAAATAAACCCACAATCCATGGCAGAGGGCGTTATTGTTGCCCGGTTTGATCAAAGCGCTTTGATGCTCCATCCAAGCTACAGCGGCATTCCCTGATTCATACAGGACAAAGGTCCTATCAGTGCCCCACTTTTAGACAAAAAGCTCATCTGAAGGTGCACCAGTCTGTTCATGAACAAGGGAAAGAGGCTAAACCCTCTATTATTCATAATGAAGACAGGCAGACCGAGTCTTTATCAAGACCGAAAAGGACCCCAAGTTCAAATGAAAAGGACTTTGTCTTCTGTAATAGGTGTGAAAATACTTTTATCGAGTGGCAGTGATCTCTCTGCTGTCCCTCTAGCTCAGTCCAACTGCCCCCCAACAAACAATGTCGACAGCCAAACACTGCCTTCTGTTGCACCTAGGAAATCAGGGGGGTACCTGTGCATGGCCTGTCTGAAGAAGTTTGACTATCCTTCTAAACTCTCTCGACATCAATTAGTCCACATGGGCATCAAGCCTTTCAGATGTACCGTCTGTAGTAAGTCCTTCAGACAACTCTGCCATCTACAGTCTCACACGAAGGTCCACTATAATAAGGCCACACTGCATGGGGATGAACAACAGAGGATCATCAACTTGGCTCAACTGGACAATGTGGTCCCCTGTAGCTCACTTGGTAGAGCATGGCGCTTGCAACGCCAGGGTTGTGGGTTCGTTTCCCACAGGGGGACAGTATGAAAATGTATGCACTCACTAACTGTAAGTCGTTCTGGATAAGAGCATCTGCTAAATGACTAAAATGTAAATATTCCCCTAGAGGATGGGGCTGTTTCGAAGGGACACATTTTTGCAGCAGGTCTTCATCAAGATGAACCAGGCCCAAGTCAAAGTTTAGGAAATTACGAACAAAATTGTAATTGCAGACAAAATGGTCATGGTGGTGAATCATACACTCACTTCTGTTTAACAGAAAGCACAAACCAATCAACAGAAATCAACAGAAAGCATGAACCAACCCCAACCCCTGAACAGTCAGAAGACATGAAAACCATGAAGTCCGGGAATAACTGGAATACTGCTGAGGAGAAACTTGTGGAAAAGTTTCCCTCGGATGAATATTATGGGCAGCAAAACCACCCCCAGCTTCCTAACTAAGCCCTTATCCATATCACCAAGAACCCACCAAAAACAAACAGGCATATCCTATTGCAAACCAACATGTTCCTTACCTGGAGGATAGACCTAATTCACAATATGGTGCTAAAGAGGAGGACGGGTTAGAGGTTGGCCTTAGGTCAGAGTTTAATGTTACATATAAGTCAGAACCTCCCAAAGACCTTCATGTCTGCGCAGGCTGTAGTCAGTGTTTTACCACCAAGAGGAAACTGAATCATCACAGGTGTTCTCAGAGACATTTAGAGAAAGAGAGAAAGGCGAGCTCGTATCAGTGCGCTATCTGTTTCAAAAGCTTTGAGGCTCCCTCAATTGAAAAGACACTATGTTATACACACAGGCCAAAGGCCATTTCAGTGTAGTGTGTGGAAAGGCTTTCACCCAGCCAGGCCATTTGAAGACACACCTGCAAATCCACAGCTAAAAGAGTTGGGACTGTCATCTACTGTATAAGGACTAATCAGAGATCTCCACACACTCAGATGTTACTTACACAACTTACCTTGCTATGCTCCTCTACTCTCCAACATTAGCTTTTTGGATTGCAGAATATGTTCATCCTTATGAAAAAGTCAATATTTTGTATGTTTCTTTTTGTGCCTTTCTATTCTGTCTTATTTTCTTGAAGTGTCTCTTTGTACAGTGAGGGGAAAAAGTATTTGATCGCCTGCTGATTTTGTACGTTTGCCCACTGACAAAGAAATGATCAGTCTATACATTTAATGGTAGGTTTATTTGAACAGTGAGAGACAGAATAACAACAAAAAAATCCAGAAAAACACATGTCAAAAATGTTATAAATTGATTTGCATTTTAATGAGGGAAATAAGTATTTGACCCCCTCTCAATCAGAAAGATTTCAGGCTCCCAGGTGTCTTTAATACAGGTAACGAGCTGAGATTAGGAGCACACTCTTAAAGGGAGTGCTCCTAATCTCAGCTTGTTACCTGTATAAAAGACACCTGTCCACAGAAGCAATCAATCAATCAGATTCCAAACTCTCCACCATGGCCAAGACCAAAGAGCTCTCCAAGGATGTCAGGGACAAGATTGTAGACCTACATAGGGCTGGAATGGGCTACAAGACCATCGCTAAGCAGCTTGGTGAGAAGGTGAGAACAGTTGGCGCGATTATTAACTGTCAATCTCCCTCGGCCTGGGGCTCCATGCAAGATCTCACCTCGTGGAGTTGCAATGATCATGAGAACGGTGAGGAATCAGCCCAGAACTACACTTGTCAATGATCTCAAGGCAGCTGGGCCCATAGTCACCAAGAAAACAATTGGTAACACACTACGCCGTGAAGGACTGAAATCCTGCAGCGCCCGCAAGGTCACCCTGCTCAAGAAAGCACATATACAGGCCCGTCTGAAGTTTGCCAATGAACATCTGAATGATTCAGAGGAGAACTGGGTGAAAGTGTTGTGGTCAGATGAGACCAAAATGGAGCTCTTTGGCATCAACTCAACTCGCCGTGTTTGAGGAGGAGGAATGCTGCCTATGACCTCAAGAACACCATCCCCACCGTCAAACATGGAGGTGGAAACATTATGCTTTGGGGGTGTTTTTCTGCTAAGGGGACAGGACAACTTCACCGCATCAAAGGGACGATGGACGGGGCCATGTACCGTAAAATCTTGGGTGAGAACCTCCTTCCCTCAGCCAGGGCATTGAAAATGGGTCGTGAATGGGTATTCCAGCATGACAATGACCCAAAACACACAGCCAAGGCAACAAAGGAGTGGCTCAAGAAGAAGCGCATTAAGGTCCTGGAGTGGCCTAGCCAGTCTCCAGACCTTAATCCCATAGAAAATCTGTGGAGGGAACTGAAGGTTTGAGTTGCCAAACGTCAGCCTCGAAACCTTAATGACTTGGAGAAGATCTGCAAAGAGGAGGGAGACAAAATCCCTCCTGAGATGTGTGCAAACCTGGTGGCCAACTACAAGAAACGTCTGACCTCTGTTATTGCCAACAAGGGTTTTGTCACCAAGTACTAAGTCATGTTTTGCAGAGGGGTCAAATACTTATTTCCCTCATTAAAATGCAAATCAATTTATAACATTTTTGACATGCGTTTTTCTGGATTTTGTTGTTGTTATTCTGTCTCTCACTGTTCAAATAAACCTACCATTAAAATCATAGACTGATCATGTCTTTGTCAGTGGGCAAACTTACAAAATCATCAGGGGATCAAATACTTTTTTCCCTCACTGTAGATGGCGTTATATGGTTTACTGAGTGTACTAATGTAATTATGTGTGGTGTATTGATTGATGCTAACAATTTGCCTATTTATAGTGAGATATTGCATACTGGTAATTGCAGTGCCTTCAGAAAGTATTCATACCCCTTGACTTATTCCACATTTTGTTGCTACAGCCTGAATTCAAAATGGATTAAATATAAACCAGGTTTTCCTCTAGGATTTTGCCTGTGCTTAGCTCTATTCCGTATCTTTTTATCCCAAAAAATCTCCCTAGTTCTTGCCGATGACAAGCATACCCATAACATGATGCAGCCAACACCATGCTTGAACATATAAAGAGTGGTACACAATGATGTTGTTTTGGATTTGTCCCAAACATAACGCTTTGTATTCAAGACCAAAATTACATTTCTTTGCTACATTTTTTTTGCAGTATTGCTTGAGTGCCTTATTGCTAACAGGTTGCATGTTTTTTTTCTTCTTCTTTTTTGTACAGGCTTCCTTCTTTTCACTCTTTCATTTAGGTTAGTATTGTGGAGTAACTACAATGTTGTTGATCCATCCTCAGTTGTCTCCCATCACAGCCATTAAACTCTTAACTGTTTTAAAGTTACCGTTGGCTTCATGGTGAAATCCCTCAGTGGTTTCCTTCCTCTCTGGCAACTGAGTTAGGAAGGATCCTGTATCTTTGTGACTGAGTGTATTGATACAACATCCAAAGTGTAATTAATAACATCACCATGCTCAAAGGGAAATTCAATGTCTGCTTTTTTTTATTTTTACCCATCTACCAATAGGTGCCCTTCTTTGCAAGGCATTGGAAAACCTCCCTGGTCTTTGTGGTTGAATCTGTGTTTGAAATTCACTGCTCGACTCAGGGACCTTACAGATAATTGTATGCGTGGGGTACAGAGATGAGGTTGTCATAAAAAAAACATGTTAAACACTTATTGTACACCGAGTGAGTCCATGCAACTTATGTGTGTTGTTAAGAAAATGTGTACTCCTGAACTTATTTAGGCTTGCCATAACAAAGGGGTGGAATACTTATTGACTCAAGACATTTCAGCTTTTCATTTTTAATTAATTTGTAAACATTTCTAAAAACATAATTCCACTTTGACATTATGGGGTATTGTGTGTAGGTCAGTGATTCAGCCTGTAACACAAATACATGTGGAAAAAGTCAAGGGGTGTGAATACTTTCTCAGGGCACTGTATTTGTACATAAATTATTCATATGTAAGTACAACAGCAGTCGGTTCTTCTGTTTCACACACATGAAGTATACACTAATAAAAAATGTGTATTTAATGCAATACTCTGGCTGGCCATATCATTATGTTTCTATTTGGTTATAGCTGGAAAATGTTACATTTGGCACTGAGGTAGGCATTGTTTATTTTCAGATGATAGGATCAACGCCATCTGATAACACTTACTTGGCAGGTCATTTCTTTATGGTTTCGCAGTACCACTTCTTCACACAAGATGGCATCATGTCTCTGTTTAGGTTCGTTGAGATGCACTTTGACGAGGAGAAGCATCTGACTTCTGATATAAATGTAATGTTGAGACATGTCAGTGTGAAAGTAACTAGTTTTAACATGGTGCATTACATTTTATGTGAATTATTGATGCTTTATGATCACATGTAGGATTATTAGTTAGAATGCCATTTTCTGTTTGACATTTAGATAAAACATCTTACTTATTTATAAATGTGTACTCATTGGAAGCTTTCAAATTGTTTTTAATCCTGATGTAAAGGTTACCTTAAACTGGGTGTCCATGATGTGACAAGATAAAAAGCTTATTGACCTGTTAGGGATTTGCAGAGTATTGGTTAAAGGGATTATTTTTCTCTTAAAACCATTCAAGATTCAAGAAGTTTTTTAAAGAATTTCACATGTTATATTATGTGAAGTATATACAGTATTATATTGTATGCAGATCTACTGTATATGCAAATGAATAATAGCAGTTTTGTCCAAGCCTGTTAGAGCAGTTCATTGGTGTAGATAAATCCATATTGCTTGTGGGTGAGTTTTTGAATGTTATAAAAATTCAAAGGGATGTTTTTAATTGTTTGCATCATGCTATGGGGATGTGGGAAGGGATTGGGAGGGGTTCATTTAGGTCATTATGGGCATCTAAATTAAAATCTGAAACACCCGAAAATACAATTCCAATTATAGTAATGGATCAGGTCAGATGTCCACGTAAAAATATCTCAATATGTAGGTGCAATTGACCAATAGCAAAAAACACAGAGGATGCTATGCTGAACCATGGATTTACCCTCACACAATTGTTTTTGTTTCTGAAACACACAGTTGTACATTATATGCAACTTCCTACTGCTAAGAATTATCAGAGTCCTCAGAACCTCATTTTATAGGTCATGTTGTGATTACAGCGCTGTGTAATAATCTCTGACATGTCCCTGGTGTATGGAGACATGGGATCTAATCCTAGCAGTAGTAGCCCCTCTTGGATTAGATAGCCTTATAGTAGACCGAGACCATCATCCCTATGGAGAGACCTGTTAAGATTGGATAGATAATAATAATAATAATTTATATCACTTTTATAGCGCTATTCATTACATAAAGAACCTAAAAGCAATTACAAGCAATTAAAAACATTTCATTTTGCTAATGATCATGAGTAGATGGACGGTCAAGAGACTGAAGGTCGAGAAAGTTCATGGTGGATCTTTATGGAGAGAATGGGTCTATTAAGTGGAGAGCGGTAAGGATAGATCCACACTGACTGTACAAAACATTAAGAACACCTGTTCTTTCCATGACAGACTGACCAGGTGAATCCAGGTGAACGCTATGATCCCTTATTGATGTCAATAAATGTTAAATCCACTTCAATCAGTGTAGATGAAGGGGAGGAGACAGGTTAAAGGAGGATTTTTAAGCCTTGAGACAATTGAGACATGGATTGTGTATGTGTGCCATTCAGAGGGTGAATGGGCAAGACAAAAGATTGAAGTAACGTTGAACAGGGTATGGTAGTAGGTGCCAGTCGCACCGGTTTGAGTGTGTCAAAAACTGCAACACTGCTGGGTTTTTCGCTCTCAACAGTTTCCCGTGTGTATCAAGAATGGTCCACCACCCAAAGGACATCCAGCCAACTTGACAC